AAAGTTTTAACATATTTGAAATGTGAGAGGACCCTGGGGCTGGGGCTGGGGCTGGGGCTCAGTGGTGGAGCACTTGCCTGGCATGTGAGAGGCACGGGGTTCAATTCTCAGCACCACATATAAGTATATAAAATAAAGGTCATCAACAACTAAAAAATATTTAAAAAAAAAAGAAATAAATTTGAGAATACCCAAATGTCTGAACTATAGCATTTGTATTTCTTTTTCTGTAATTTTCCGATATATTCCTTTGTGTATATTGTGTTTTTAAAATTTTATTTATAATGGCCCTTGGTATATCAGTGATATAAAGCCTTTGTCATATTTCTTTTCCTAGTTCACTTAAAAAATCTCTACTTATAAAAATGTTCATTCTTTTTGTCAGGAATTCTTCTTTTAGAATTTGTCTTAAGCAATTATCATATCAAGTATACTTTCAAGGAGGATGGTCACTAAAGAGTTATGTGGAAAAACCAAACAAAAAATGTAAACAATGAAATGTTCAACAATGAAGGATTAATCAATTATGGTATATCACTAAAATATATCATTAAAATATTTAATGATATTAAACATAGTAATAAATGTAACAGATATGCTAGGATCCAACCTATAAAGACCAAAATACAATTTTAGCTAGGTACTGAAAAGGAAGACTATATTACATGTTAGTCCTTAAGTATGGAAATAAGCATATTTGCACAAGAAATTTAAAAATTTTGTGTAGTTAAAAATTATGCAGATATAACATTGTAAATACATACTTTAGTGGCAAAGGGTGCCTTAGATGGAAGGGTATTTTACTCTCTTGTGGGTAACCTTATAAACTTAACTTTTGCCTCAAAAACCCAAAACAAAATAGTCAACCTTTTTGTACCAGGGTTTCTCCATGTGTTAAATGATAATAATAATTGCTACCTTGATTTAATTCACAAGGACGTTGTGTAAACTGATGGTAATTCACTGTAACTACATAGATAATGGTACTAGTAATATTACTTAACTATAGTAATATTTTATTACATTTAATATAAATGCAATGGAAACATTAACTCAATACTTGAAGAATAACGTTATTTAACCAAGAAAAATAAAAATCAAACAGAAGAAAAGTTTGTCTATCAAAATAGATTGCAAGGGAAGATGCAATAAATTACCCAATAAACATTTACTATTTATTTGCCTATTTTGTGCCAGCCTGGGCCTATAGGTTGGGGAGTATAAGGTGGTCCCCTAACCTCACATACATCCTTCTGGTGGATGATCATGTCAATTTCCACTGATAGCATCATAGGTGATTGTCTCTAGACCCTGAAGAGGCAAAAATGCTGATAGACGCAACATACCTCTACCAAGGACAGTCTGATCATGAAAGATGAACTACTGAGCCAGTTATAGGAGCTAATCACCATCAGAGTTATGGGAGGACAACATCAAGCATAACCTCCAGCAGTTTTACATTGCCTGAAGTGAAATTAGGGGACAAATTGGTTGGGGATGCCCCATTCTTGAGGGGTTCCCCTGGTAAGCATTAGGGGGAATTCCCTTAAATATGGTAGAACCCTAACGGTACATATATGGGTTATTGGGGAGAACAGATCCCTGCTTGCTAGTAAGAGACTGGAAGGGGTGGGGGAATTCCTAAAAACTCCATTTACAGAGCAGGAGATCCCCTTCTGTTACTCAAAGTTCCCTTGTTACTGGGTATTCTGAGATATTTGTGATTATTATCCCTTTAAACTTTTTTCCTGATTCCTTCAAGGTTTCCAATCTTCCTTCAGGGTTCAGAGGAAAACAACTGAATATGTATATGTACGCATGTGTGAGTGTATATTTATACACATACACAGAGTGATAAATATATACACAAGTATGTATGCGTGCTCATGTGCACACACATACACACACACACACACACACATGAGACTGACTGGTACTTGTTTGGCTGTTAGTGCAGAGGTCCTAGAATTTAAGCATTTTATTTTTATCGCTTGAATCTAGTATTATTCATTTCTAATCAGTTCATGATAAAACAATTCCAGGCAGACAACAATGTAGATTTTGTACAACATAAGGTAAGATATATGTCTGAACAAAATAGCACCATTAAGAATTTGAACACTTTTGGTTGATTCTAACACTATTAGAAAGCAAATATAATTACAGTAGCATAAACTAATAGAGTACCTATTGTGCAATAGGGATATAAGATGAGAGAAAGCAAAGATTTGAATTTAACAGTTTTGGAATGAAAACAAATTTTATAGTTGAAAAGTCCATTTCTACTTCCCATTACCTTCATCTCAGTTAAGCAATTAACTTCAGTAACTCCTTTTTTAAATAGGGAAAGCGACTACAAGGGTTAAAATATAATAATATATTTTTAATATGCCTAGAATTTTAAAAATGCACTAAGGACAAAGAATGGTATTATTGTTAATTCTTTTATACATGGCACAAATTACATAAATCACAATAGGGAGAATTCTCTCATTTTCTAAGGTACAAATTAGGTTCAGGTCATAGACCTACAAACTGCACCAACCTGAAGACCTGTATTGCAAATTCAAGCTTGTGGATTACTGGTGCCCAGGCTGGACAACAAGGATAGGTGACAATAAGCTTATCATTGGAAAAATAACTCAAAGTCCCAGTCCTTTGGTGGGAGGGTAGTAGTGTCATTCTTTATATTGAAATTACATTTAATCTGTAAGGTAGAACTAATGTTATTGTTTGATATACAACACTATACAGATGCTAAAATTACAGTGAATTAAGTGAAAGTGGCTTTGAATCAATCTATACAATCAATATATGAGTCTGGATGTGCAAGCATGTGCTTAGTTCATGGTATTTTATAATATGTTCCAGAAAATTTGTTTTTAAAAGGTACCTTGAAAATAGCCTATTTCACATTATATATTTGAAGACTTAAATATTGTTCTTCTCTTAAAAACAGAAAAAAAATTAAGAGTAATCACAAGACTACATTAACGTGCTTTTTTTTTTTTTTTTTTTTTGGTATCAGGGATTGAATCCCCAGGGGTGCTTAACCACTGAGCCACACCCCCAACCCTTTGGTTACATTTTATTTTGAGACTTGGTCTTGCAGAGTGGCTGAGGCTGGCTTTGAAGTCCCTAATCCTCTTACCTCAGCCTCTGGAGCTGCGTGCGCCTCAACCACGCCTAGCTCGACAATCATTTTGAACTTATTTTATATTAGTGTTCTGATCGCTAATAAACATATTTCTTGAAAGAGGAAAAAAAATCTTTCCAGTTTGAGAAACTTTTTTTTTACCTGAAATATGTTTGCCCCAAAATAAGATTTATCTTACATTGCAAATTAGTAAATGAATTTAAACAATTCAGAATTTGCTAAATTTAGCGTATTAAAATATTTAAGTCAGAAGTTTAAGGGCTTGGAATTGTAAGACCTTTTTCTTAAAAATCTCACTAAGATTATAATTATAGGAGGTTCATTTCCAGCTCAATCTGCTCTAATCATTCTATGTAAAAATTCCATATGAAATATAAACTGCTAAAAAAAAGTCTTAAAAATTGATGCTTGTCATTAAACACGATCTTCGGAGTCACATACAATCTTCGGAGCCGCACACAACGCCGGTATAAGCAGACTCCTCCCCGCTCCCGGGGAAAACCCTGCCTAATATTTATAACGTTATGACATACTGTAATACTCACAAGGTGGTTTGTAGAAGTATAAACATGACTGGAGTTATCTGATTGGCTGCTGGTGATGTAACACCCATGTCAATACTTCCCAGTGAACGCACGTGTTCGACCTTTTATTTAAATTTCCATTTCATCACAGCAATAAGACACTCGGGGCGGTGCGTTTTCTGTGAAATGATTATTGCCTTGGGCCCGAGGTGCTGCCTCGCGCACACAGTGTATCAGAGGAGGTGTCCGTGGTTGTAACCTCTGCGCGTGAAAAAGGCACCGCCTGGTCCAGTCTTTGTGAAGAAACAAAATAAGTTCACTTCCTTGACCACCGCCACCCGCCCCCAGCAAATGACAAGGCAGGAGCGCAGCTTCCACCGCACAGTTATTTCCAAAGTCCCAGGTGAACTCGTGGCGAGGGAAGGAAAATGCGCGTCCCGGGCGCGAGTAGGTGCGTGTGGGCAGCGGGGAGGCGGCCAGACCCTGACAGTCGCCAGCTGTTTGTCCTCCGCTTAGCCCAGCCCTGGACGCACACGCCCGCCCCCTCCCCGGGACCCCCAGCCTGACGCCCGGCCTTTTGTCCCCCGCCCCTTAGCCGACTTCCTTCCCTGCGGCCGCACCCCCGCCCCCAGGCCGGAGGCGCGGCCCGGCCCCTTTCCCGGTCCCCTGGCGCCCCCACCCCACCCCAGCCCAACCCCAAGCCCAGCCCCCCTCCCCCCCGCCCGGCCCCCACCCTTTCCCCCTCCAGCGGTTACTGCTACCCCGGTGCATTGTGGGCGCACGGTCCGTTGTTCATTTGCCATTCGACCTCCGCCAGGGCCTGGTCGGACGGAAACGCTCCGCCGGCTTTATTGTCGGTTCGTTATGTGTCGGAGCCCAGCAGTTTAACGTGCCTTTCGCCCTCAGCGCCTCGGAAGCCGGCGGCGACGTCGGGACTCCTCGGCGCGCCGGAGGAAGGATATCTGTTGGAGGGTCGGTGTGTGCGCGCGGCTTTAAAAGAGGGGGCAGCGGAGGGTCTCCCGCACTCCGCCTCTCAACTTCGAAGGCCCCACGCGCCCCGACTCGCCGCTCACCGCTCCGCCGCCCGCCCCCTTCTCCGCGCGGGACGCTGCCCGGAGCGCTGCGGGGCGGGGGTGGAGGACGAGGAGAGCGGCCGGAGGCGGCGGCCCGGCGGCAGCGGACGCGTGCGGCAGCCCCGGGAGCGAGCGCGAGCCGGGCGGGAGGGTGAGGCTGAGCCCCGCGAGACCGGAACGCCGGGGGCGGGGGCGGGGGCGAAACGGAGGAGGAGACGCGGGGAGCGCGCGGGACGCGGCCCGAAGCCGGGCGCGAGCCGGGGCACCGGGCGGCGGCGGCGGCGCGCGCCATGTCGTTCAGTGAAATGAACCGCAGGACGCTGGCGTTCCGAGGAGGCGGGTTGGTCACCGCCAGTGGCGGCGGTTCCACGAACAATAACGCTGGCGGGGAGGCCTCGGCTTGGCCTCAGCAGCCCCAGCCAAGACAGCCCCCGCCGCCAGCGCCGCCCGCGCTTCAGCAGCCCAATGGGCGGGGGGCCGACGAGGAAACGGAATTGGAGGGCCTGGAGCCCCAACACTTGGAGGCCTCCGCTGGGGCGGCCGCCGCCGCCGCCGAGGAAACCAAGGAGTTGCTGCTCCCCCAAGACGCGGTCGGCCCCACCTCGCTGGGCGGCGGTGGCTCGGGTGGCCCTTTGCTAGCGGAAAGGAACCGTCGGACTCTGGCCTTCCGAGGAGGTGGCGGCGGGGGTCTCGGCAACAATAGCAGTAGCCGCGGCCGCCCGGAGACCTCGGCGTGGCCCCTGAGGCATTTCAATGGGCGAGGGCCGGCGGCTGTGGATCTGGAGCTTGACGCGCTGGAGGGGAAGGAGTTGATGCAGGACGGCGCGTCCCTGAGCGACAGCACCGAGGACGAGGAGGAGGGGGCGAGCCTGGGCGACGGCAGTGGGGCGGAAGGCGGCAGCTGCAGCAGCAGCAGGCGGTCGGGCGGCGATGGTGGGGATGAAGCGGAGGGCAGCGGTGTGGGAGCTGGCGAAGGAGAGACTGTCCAGCACTTCCCGCTCGCGCGGCCCAAGTCCCTAATGCAGAAGCTACAGTGCTCTTTCCAGACCTCCTGGCTCAAGGATTTTCCCTGGCTGCGATATTCAAAGGATACTGGCCTTATGTTTTGCGGCTGGTGCCAAAAGACCCCTGATGATGGGGGAAGCGTGGATCTTCCGCAAGTGGGGCACGATGAGCTTTCTCGAGGGACCCGTAACTACAAGAAAACCCTGCTTCTGAGGCACCACGTCTCCACCGAGCACAAACTCCACGAAGCCAACGCCCAGGTACAGTATATCCTGCTCCTGCTTTTTGAGGTCTTTTGGGGAAAGGCTTATCAACTTAAATAAGAAACCATTTTCCTGGGCGAAGGCATCGTTCCGATTGACAGAGGTGCTTAAGCGTCGGGGTTTAGAAAGCCTGGGAACAAAGTTTTGAAAAGTTGTCTGTGTGTGGGGGGAGGGGGGAAGGGGGATGAAATGAGAATTTTCTAATCTTAGCAATGAATTTGTTGTATTTTTTGAATGACTCAGACTGCTTATCAGATTGAATCAGAAGGAAAGTTTAACAAAATGTGATTGAAGGTTTTAACCTACAAGCTTAACTTTGGGCTAAAAAATTATTAGCTGTGATTTTAGAAGCCGCCTTAGGTTCCTAGATATTTGGTGTGTTTAGAGGAAGTCAAATCTGGCAACGCTTTGCGAAGAGTGGATTAAAAAGTTCCCTTAAGTTTTAGACGCTACCTCTAAGAGGAGAACATCCACCCGAAAAAATTCTTATATCAGGTCAAGATAATGTGAAATCTGAGAGTTGTATGTAAATATAGAGGAAGTTATTTGAATAACCCTCCTTTCTCCTGTGAATCATTTTACTAAATTCATCTCTATTGAACTTGTTGAACCTTCTTTACCAAGCTTGCTTTTGTCAAATTATTGTTTTTATTCACTTCATTCATATTTCTGCTCCACGATATTTCTATATTACTTTTTTAAAACTTTGTCTTGTAAACACAGTTTACATGAAGCATTTTAAACTTAGCATTGGAAGTGTTTTACGTGAAGATATTGAGCATTCGATTGGGACTGTTAGGGAATTTATTTACCAAACTGTGAAAAATCACAAGTCCTTGGTTACAAAGTTGTGTGGGTTTTTAGTCCTTATTTTAACATTTTTTGTCAAAAGTTAGTAAGTTAGTAACCTAATCATTTTGGTAGGCCTTTTCTAGACTGTTTATCAGTCTTCCTTTTTATGACTTTAATTTTAGACAGCCTTGTAGCTGGGGGATGAAATCCATTCTTTTTGTACTGATAGCCAGTCATTGATTTTAGAAAGTCAGTGCTCAGATAGTAGTTCTACTCAGGTATTAATCCCTTGCTATGGTGTTTATGGGAGCAATCCTGCCATTCAGTACACTTATACTGGAGTTACACCAGTAACCCCACAGACATAGCCCAAAAATTTCTTGGAAGTTAGGGATGAAATTTTTTTAATTTTTTTATTTTTATTTTTATTTTTGGTGGAGTAGGGCACAAATTTTAGTTGCCTCAGCCCTAGAAGGAAGATGGGTTTTTAGAGAAATAAAACCCAGAAAGTTTTAAGTAAAGTTCTGGGTGACAACTGACACTAGAGCCTATTAGGAATGTTGTACTGGGAAAATAATGAATTTGGAGTAAATCTGAGTTCAGATCCCAGCTTTGTGCTGTTTCTAGCTTTGTGAACTTGGGCATTTGAGTGAGCTAGAACATTTTCTTGTCTTTTGTACCAAAAACACATTAACTTTAGTCCACCAAGTATTTTGTTTCCATTTCACAAAAAGAGTGATCTAAGGCATTCAAGGGTTAATGTATTTCTAAAGTTATTTATAAGATAATAAAGGCCCATAACTTGTGAAAATGAAAGCTTAATTTTCTCAATTATGGTAGCTTGGTATTTAGAAAAAATTTAAAAGACAATTGGAATGAATTTTCTTAATCTACAGTGAACCAGTTATTCTTATCAGCAGTCTCTCCCTGTAGGCAAATCTGAATGGGAATACAAATTATAATTAGCTGCTTAGTGAACCTGAAGTCAGAGGATGGAGGAATTAGTTGGGTACCCTTATGGTAGACTTTGTATGGGTGTATCTCTTAGTATGGGTGGATCACAGAATTCATTTATAGTTAAAACATTTTCCAAACTTGACTTCTGAACTATTCCTTTCCTGTTCCCCTGTGGAAATTGCCCTTTGATATAATCTATGGGCTATCTACTTTTAGAAAGTTTTTTTTTTCTATTAAATTTAAAGTCATTTGTCTTAAAGATATACATTGGTTCCTTTGATTGGATTTTGGATGTTTCCACTTTGATCTTCCTCATTTCTCTAAATTCTAACCTAGTTTAGGGGATATCTTGCTATCCCAAGTACTGTGGTATTGTTGCCCTCCAGGCTTTGATTACCTATAGGAGGCAGTATAACACAGTCTGTGAGAGGATTTTTTTTTTTTTTTTGCCCAAGGTCAAGACCTTGGGTCTGATCCTCTTATTTTCTTAACAGGAAAATTAATTAACTTGTTTCTTTATGTATACAAAGTATATTTGGCAACATATAATTTCTTAGTAAATAAGAATGATTATTTATTGTCATGATTACTTATATTTAATACAGGCAAACATCTAATACAAGATTTGTTTAAGAATTTTAAATTTGGGCAATGCTAGAGATTGAATCTAGACCTTACACATGCTAAGCAAGTGACCTACCATTAAGGTACACCTCTAACCCTAAGAACTTTTTTGTGGCCTGTTACATCATAAATTAGTGTCACCAGTTTTTTTCAGCTTTGAAGTCTTTTTCATGGATTCACTCTTGATTCTAGAGAACAAACCATTTTCCATTTTTATACCCCCAGACTTAGCCATTTTGAGCCTGCCCCTCATCATGTAATTTTTCTTGGCTTCCCAAAGAATATCTTGCATTTGCTTTATATTGTTTTAACATTAAATTGAGAATTTTGGAATTCGGGCAAGAATTTAGAGGCTTAAAGTAGTTCACTCCCTTTATTTTTTCCATCATTGTTGTTTTGGTGGGTGCTGAGGATCGAACTCAAGGCCTTGTGCATACTAGACAAGCACTCTACCACTGAGATATACCCCCAACCCCTTTTCTTTTAAAAAGGTCTGGTTTTTTGAGAGGTGTTTGAGTATCTTAGTAATTATCACGAAGGGTTATTTTTATTTCTCATGCTTTCTATAAACAAGAAAAGTCGCTTGTTAATTTTTTTGGTGGTGACCAAAAATATTTGAACATAACCTTTAAAAAGTTTGGTATTTTGTATATGATATTGCATGTGCATACGTGACTTGGGAGGTTGAGGCAAAAAAAAAAAAATCAGTCCAAGGCCAGGCTCAGCAATTTAGTGAGGCCCCATCTCAAAATAAAAATTTTCTTAAAGGGCTAGAGATACATGGCTCAGTGGTGGATTGCTTCCCTACATTTGAGAGGCACTTAATGAGAGGCCCTGAGTTCAATTCCAGTACAGGGGGGAAGGGCTGGGAGAAAAATTTTAACTTTTTTTTTTTTTTTAATGGGGATCTCCTGGTAATTATTCAGATTGGCCTCAAACTCCTGATCCGAAACCATTCTCCATTCTTCCAAATAGCTGGAACTGTAGGCATGATGTCTATTTATTTGTATTCTTTAAATTAGACTACTCTTTAAATTAGACTACTGCTGGAGAGCCTTTTTAAACATGCTTCCTGAATTTGTATTCTGAACCTTCTATGTTAGAGGTGTTCTGTATTTGGATATGAGGAAAATGTATTGTTGGGTTTTGTGGGGTGGTAGTGGTAAGGACTTACAGATTCTTTTTCTTGCAGTGGGGATTTTAACCACTACCATGCTAGGCATGTCCTAAGCTCTATATCTCCAGCCTTTGTTGTATTTGAGATAGGATCTTGCTAAATTGCCCAGATCAGTCTCAACCTTGTGATCCTCCTGCCTCAGTCTCTCAAGTAGGTTGGATTATAGGCCTTTGCTTCTATGCCCAGCTGGGATCTACAGTTTTGAGTAACTGGACTATCTTTTCATAGTCAGAGTCAATGATTAGCTCATTCATGATTTGACCATTTGGCCTAGAGGACTCTAAAATTGCTTTAATTACAGTTTTGACTTCTGTGTCTTGGTTCAAACCATTTTTATTTTTTGATACTGGGGATTTAACCCAGGATCACATTACCACTGAGCTACATCCCCAGCCCTTTTTACTTTTTATTTTGAGGCCCAGTCTTGTTAAGTTACATAGGTTAGCCTCAAGTTTATGATCCTCCTGCCTTAGCCTCCTGGGGCATCCACTTTCTCACCAGCTCAAACCACTTTCTGCCCAGTTGTGAAATTTTCATTTCCTAAATCATTTCTTCTGTCAACCCTTTCCGGTTTAGTAAGCCTACAACATGCACCCAAATAATTACTGTAACATCCAGAAATAGTGAATTCAGATCAGTGATCTGATTGAGATTTTGATGCCAGGTGGAATAAATAAAGAAGATAAGTCATATCTACCAGCCTTCTTTATTTGGGGCTAAAATTAGGCCTTCAAGGTTGTTCTAACCGTTTAGGAAGAAAGTCTGAAAGACCTTTGAAAAGGAGAAATAATATATTTAAGGATGAGCCTGGGGTTTAATAAATTACCATTGTATAATGATTGTAATTCATTTATTCATTGTGTAAGTAAAAATCCTTGTTTTTCAAATGTTTGGTAATATACCTTATTGTATATCTAGGATTGGCATCTTCTTAAATTTATCTATATTAGGTAAAAGCAAAGCACTGAAGATAAAAAAACTTATAAGATTTTCTCTGCCCTCAAGGAACTTGTAATCTAGTAACAACAGACTGACGTGATGATAAAAATAAGATACTGACATGTTCAGGGTACAGTGAAGACACTAAAGGGAATCAGGCCATCAGTTTTACATGCAGTGGGTTGGAAAAAAGCTCACAGAATTGGTTCTTGAACCGAACTATGTTAAATAAATAGGCATTGACAAGGAGGAAAGGGCATTCTGGCATTGCAGTTTGAAGCAGCATGAGGAAAATGAATAATGGTGTCTTCATGTATCTGAGAAAAGGGATAGTTTGGTTAGTGAGCAGGATGAAAAATTAAGTGTGAATAGGTCATGAGGATCTCTTTATGTTTTAAAGATTGCATTTTCTGTTAACAAATGGGCAACAATAGCAGTTTTAAGTAGGAGAAAAGTATGATCGAATGTGTATGTGTTTTTGGTTAGTGGCACCTGTGTTTTGTGCTGT